GCTTGTGGCCCAGGAAAGCAGTCGAGGACGGCCCAAGGCTTTGGGACCCTGCACCTGCCTGGGAGACCTGGAGGAGGCTCTGGGCTCCTGGTCTTGGATTGGCTTAGCTCCAGCCGTTGTGGCCACTTGGGGAATAAACCATCGGATAAAAGATCTTCCTCTCTATCTCTCCTCTTCTCTGTATATCTGTCTTTGCAATAAAAATAAATCAATCTTTAAAAAAATTAAAGGATTAAAATAGTACTAACAAGTACACAGTGGAAAGAACAGCAGCTGCTGTTCCATTCTGACCTCGTCTTCTTGAATGACAACTAATTTCAAGAAATGAGTATTTGCCTGTTATTTAGATATCTGTTTTCATTCTTTTTTAAAGATTAGGAGGGAAGGATGCTGGAGTTGCAAGCAATGGGATCACCTTCTTTGCCACAATGCCAGCCACGGTTTTGGTATTATTTTAGAACTGGATTGGCTGAGAGAATATTGGAGGTTGGATTAAGGGATTAAGGGAAAGGTGTTTTTGACTAAAAAAAGAGCTCCATCAGATCAGCAACGTACATGTCAGTAGCCACTAAACATCTCGGTTATTTAAATAAAAATGTAATTAAAATGCAGTTTCTCAGTCACACCAGACACATGTCAAATGCTCAAAAGCCACATGTGGTTAGTGAGTACCATTGGGCAGCGGAAACATAAAACATTTATATTGCTGCAAAAAGTGCTATTCAGTTCTGCCGCTAGAGAGGTTCACTTGGGTGTTAGTGTAAGATCTGATTGCTAGTAGGAATGAGATTTGAGATTTGTCAGCTCCTTCAGACTCTTGAATGTATGTATAATGCAGTCACCTTAAGACCCATCTGTATTTATCCAAAATAACGAACACAAGTATTGTGTACAAACTTGGTAAAAAATAAATAGCTGTTGAATTTAAGAAATTATCTGGAACTAATACTTCCCTCTTCTAATATTCCTCTATTTAGAACCTGCTTAGTAAATATCTTTTGAATCCTATAGTGGATGCAATAATATTTTTGAGCAGTTATTTAAGGCAAAAACATTGCTACAAATGTAGTTACTGAGTTTGGGCCCGGCGCGGTGGCGCAAATGGTTAAGGTCCTCGCCTTGCACGCCCGGGATCCCATATGGGCGTCGGTTCTATCCCGGCAGCCCTGCTTCCCTTCCAGCTCCCCGCCTGTGGCCCAGGAAAGCAGTCGAGGACGGCCCAAGGCTTTGGGACCCTGCACCCGCGTGGGAGACCCGCAAGAGGCTCCTGGCTTCGGACTGGCATAGCATCGGCCGTTGTGCTCACTTGGGGAGTGAATCATTGGATGGAAGATCTTCCTCTCTGTCTCTCCTCTCTGTATATCCACCTTTCCAATAAAAACATAATAAAAATAAATCTTAAAAAAAAAAAAAAGTAGTTACTGAGTTGGTTCTAACATTCTGGGCTACATTCAAGGAGAATTAATGACTGGAGTGATAGTTGGCAGTCTATGGAAAGAACCTGTGTTAACATGAAGTTTCAGTGTATTAACCCACCTCTGGTTCTACGTTTAGTATCGGGTTCAGCTTCATGCTCTTCTTTTTCCTCCTCATTGGTGGAAACAGCATCTAATTCATGACAAATGGAGCTACAAGTCACAGAGAAAGAATTTTAAGTCAGTATCCTAGTTGGCATTGCTCTATGTACAATACAGAACACAAATCCCACAAGATTTTTTTTTGAAAAAAATTATGCGCCCAACTAAATTTGGTACCTTCTAAAACCTACAATCTGTTCTTAGAAGTTGTGATGTATATTATCATACTAAACACAGGAAAGCCTTGTAGAATACAATTTTTTTGAAAACAAATTTTTAGTGTATTTAACTTCACATTTCTTCAAATAATTTGACCTTAAAACAATTTTCCTGCATAGTAGCTGAAATACTTGTACTATTGCATTTGGGCACATCAATCTGGCCTTGTAACACTAGTCATTATAATAAAATGCAGCATGCCCCTCCAGTCACTCTCTGAGCTATCTACTCCAAGTGACTTCAGATGCAGAGCAACACTGACCATCAGCACTGATCGATGATCTGGAACATACCTGATAGTTGGAACAGTAAATGGATCAAACTGATCCACCTTGTGTAAATTAATGGGCACCGAAATGCGACCTGGAAGAACCAGAAGTTACAAAGTGATGACTACAGAATAAAAATGATCACGGGCTGGGTCTTATTCCAAGTTTTTTTTTTTCTAATTTTTTTTTTATTGGAAAGGCAGATATACAGAGAGGAGGAGACACAGAGGAAGATCTTCCATCCATTGATTCACTCCCCAAGCCGCCACAATGGCTGGAGCTGAGCCAATCCAAAGCCAGGAGCCTGGAACTACTTCTGCGACTCCCATGCTGATATAGGGTCCCAAGGCTTTGGGCTGTCCTCGACTGCCTTGTCAGGCCACAAGCAAGGAACTGGATGGGAAGTGGGGCCACTGGGATTAGAACCGGCGTCCATAAGGGATCCCAAAATGTGCAAAGTGAGGACTTTTGCTGCTAAGCTACTGCGCCAGGCCCTCTAAGTTGAATTTTTTAACCTAAGCCTTAGATAAAGGGCTAGATTTGTCTGTTGAGAATAATAGTTAGAAATATACTTTGATATGAGCTGTGTTTTTTGTATCTCTCATGTGAGACAAAGAGCTCCTGTCTGCTGGTTCAACCTCCCAATGCCTGCAAGGGCAAGGACAAGTGAATGGGGAGCTCAGCCCCGCTCTGCCATGTGGAGGATAGGAGCCCAGTTACTTGAGCTGTCTTGCTGCCTCCTAGAGTCTGAACTGCTGGAAAGGTAGAGCCAGAAGCTGGATGTGGACACCTTGACTGAGGACTTCCTTCTCTCATTTTTTCCAAATAGTATTTATTTATAAACTTAGTTAATTTAAAAGGCACACTGACAGAAAGAAAGGGAGACAAAGAGATAATCTTCTATCTGTTGGCTTATTCCCCAAACGGTCACAACAGCCAGACCCAGCACAGGAAGAAGCAGGAGCGAGGAAACCTCCCCTGCTGCTTTGCCAGAAGTGGAGCAGTTGGGACTTGAACTGGCACTCTGATATGAGATGTTGTTATATTGTGGTGGTTTAACCCACTGTCCCACTACACTAACTTCCTTTCTTCCCTCCTTCTTTTTTTTTTTAAAGATTTATTTTTATTATTTTTTCATTGGAAAGGCGGATATACAGAGAGGAGAGAGAGGGAGGAAGATCTTCCGTCCAATGATTCACTCCCCAAGTGAGCACAACGGGCCGATACTATGCCGATCCAAAGCCAGGAGCCTCTTGCGGGTCTCCCACGCGGGTGCAGGGTCCCAAAGCTTTGGGCCGTCCTCGACTGCTTTCCCAGGCCACAGGCAGGGAGCTGGAAGGGAAGCAGGGCTGCCGGGATTAGAACCGGCGCCCATATGGGATCCCGGGCGTGCAAGGCGAGGACCTTTAACCACTTGCGCCACCGCGCTGGGCCCTTCCCTCCTTCTTTTTAAGGTTTACTTTTATTGGAAAGTGAGATACACAGAGAAGGAGAGAAAAATCCTTCCATCTGCTGGTTCCCTTCCCAAGTGCCTGCAATGGCCGGAACTGAGCTAATCCAAAGCCAGGAGCCAGCAGCTTCTTCTGGATCTTCCACATGGGTGCAAGGTCCCAAGGCTTTGGGCCATCTCTACTTCTTTCCCAGGCCGCAGTCAGGGAGCTGGAAGGGAAGCGGAACAGCTGGGAAACGAACCATCACCCATATGTGATCCTGGCACATGCAAGGTGAGGACTTTAGCCACTAGACTACCTTGTTGGACCCACTAGCTACTTCCCATTTGTTCTTATCTCAAGTTTTATTGTTCTATCTTAAAAAATGACATATATCTAAATATTCCATCTTTCAGAACAATTTCAAATCTAGTTGAGTCCTGAAATGTAACAAAATAGATGGAAATAGTTCTTTACAATGGTTTAGCTTATGTGCTGAGATCAAGCTTCCATGGCAGATGTCATGAGAAAGCATTTTGGAAATGCAGTCACATGCTCCTAACAACACATGATGGTGGCCCCCAAGCGAACACTGCCGCCATTGCAGTGAGTGTTAAGTGTACTCTATAATGTTCGCACAGCCATCAAATTGCCTCCTGAAGCATTTCTCAGAAAGTAGCCCCATCATTAAAATGATGCATGATTGCAGTTCACAGTATCCTACCTGTTCTACACCATCTAGACCTGGGAGGCACAATTCAAAAATGCTATAAATGAATCTAAAGAATGTCAGGTGACCACTAAGAATAATTCAAGGAAATTGGGAGTTGTTACTTGAAGAAAGAGTAACAGGGCTGTAGTTACTTGACAGAAAAGGCAAACAGATGCCCTGAAAATATGCCCATTATGAGTGAACATAATTATTTACCAAACCCCACACCCATTGAAGCTTTAGAATTAAGCATAAAATAAATAAGAGATATTAAGCTTGTTAGCAAGAGAAGTTAAGGACACATAACCGATGAGTTTGAAGAGCTGCTATATAAACTATAGTCGGCACACATTTTTAAAGAAAAGCGGGCAGTCTGGATGAACTGGATGTGTGCCAGTCGTTTTACTTTTTGTTTGCTTGTTTGTTTAAAAAGATGTATTTATTTATTTATTTATATTGGAAAGTCAGCTATACAGAGAGGAGGAGAGAGAGGAAGATCTTGCATTCATTGATTCACTCCCCAAGTGGCCGCAATGGCCGGAGCTGTGCTGATCAGAAGCTAGAAACCTGGAGCCTCTTCCTGGTCTCCCACATGGGTGTACGAACAAGTGTCCATATGTCCCAAGGCTTTGGGCCATCCTCCACTGCTTTCCCAGGTCACAGGGCCACTAAGATTAGAACCAGAGCCCATTTAGAATCCTGGTGCGTTCAAGGGGAGGATTTTAGCTGCTAGGCTACTGCACTGGGCCTGCCAGCCGTTTTTCTAAGCTTCTGACATTTTAGCTCGTCCCAGTGACTCACCAAGGAGGACATTAGCACTTCCACATTATAGATGAAGACAGTTTCTTATCATTCTAAGATCTTGTAACAAGTGCAGCATTGGCTTGTGGACTCCAACGTGGACAACTAGCATCGTGTATGCAGTGCAGTGGCGAAGTCCCTGCTTGGAACACCCATTCCACGTTGGAATGCCTAGTTCAACTTCCAGTTCCTTCACTCCTGAGCCAGCTTCTGGCCAATGTGCTTTCTGGGTGGCAGCAGCTGATGGCTCAAGTGCTTAGACTCCTACTTCATGTGGGAGATCCGGATTGAGTTCTAGGCTCTTGGCTATGGCTTGGCCCAGCCTGGCTATGGTGAGCACTGGGGAGACCTCTTTGCCTGTCTCTCTTTCTCTGCTTTGAAACACTTTTAAAGTAGAAATTATATACTTCTGCAATAGGTTCATTGGTTGGAGGGAGGAATTGATAATAAAGCTACTTTTTTTATCTACCTAAAAGCCAATTTTCGTCCGTCCAGTGTTATCTAAAAAAAGTATAAAAGAGCAATGATGAAATTAGTGAAAATAAAACCGAAGGAGGCAGCATAGTGGAAAACGCAGAGAACTTTGACTTCTCAGCACTGAAATCTGTTCCTGGCACGGACATGATCTGTCTCTGGATGAGTCACTTGCAACTTTTCGACCACTATTTTCTCACCTGTATGAAGAGACCTGTTATCCTGTGATGATGATGATGGAGCTTGCCAACTCTAACACCTATTTTCTGAGTTTTCAGACACTCAACTGAAAAAATGTTTCCATAGTGGAAACTCCTGCAGTAGTTACTCAGACCCCCCCCAAAAAAGTGAACTTAGCTGACAGGGCAACCCTCTAGTATTTAATGTCATAGGTAATATGTGTATTCACACCTGGTGATACACTCACTTAAAACAGAAAACTGATTCATCTCCTTGTAGTTTTCCTTACTTTCTTCACACAATACCTGTTTTCGGATGCACGCTGAAAGGACTTTTCAGCAAGTGGTTGATTCCTTTGCTAACGTTGATGTCTAGCCGTGGAAAACAATACTGAAGCATAATCTCCCACTCCAGCCAGGGGCTGCATTTGTCACTCTTGGTGTTGTTCTAAGAAAACAGAGGTAAGGTCGGCATGAAGATTGGCAGGACATTGAGAAGACTTTTTTTTTAAAAGAAGGTTAAAAATGCAATCATCGTTAACTGGCTGAACAAATCAGAATTGAACTAAAAATTGCAAAGTTCTATTTTCAGCACAAGTTCAGGGGCACATACCTGAGGCTTGTTTATAACTTTCTTCAAATACTCCCAACGCTGAAGGGAATTGTGACACTTTACGAAGCCTTGCTGAAGTTCATCATGAATTGGTGATGGATCATTAAGGAACACACCTTGCGTTTAGGGCGTATCAGTGAATTTTCAGTGTACATTACCATGTTAAATCTAAAATTCATAAATTATTAAGACACTATAAGACTATAAGACACACAAGTTCAAACTTTATATCCTCAGAAAACTCCCCAGGAAAAATACAGTGGTAATCCAACAGAAAAAAAAAATGCTGAAGCACTTGTAAAAGGGAACGCTTTCCCAGCCTGCACATAGTTTAAATGATTAAACATTCTCTAGCCATTTATTCTAGCTAACACCAACTTTCAAAATGAAATGCTCCTCTTTTGGAGCTGGTGACATGGCAGAGCGAGTTAGGCCTCTCTCTGCAGTACTGGCATTCCTGATGGGCATTGGTTCAACCCTGCTCATTTTACTTCCCATCCAGTTCTTTGTTAATGTGCCTGGGAAAGCAGCGAAGTTGGTCTAAGTGCCTGGGCTTCTGCACCACATAGGAAACCCAGAGAAGCTCCTGGCTTCCAATCGGCTGAGCTCTGACCACTGCAGCCATTTAGGGGAGCAAACCAGTGGCATGAAGATCTTTCTGCAACTGCCTCTCAAATAGAAATAAAGAGAAATGGTCCTCTTTCTTAAAATTTATTGTATTCCAGAATGGAGATAGAAAAAAAAAGTTAGAAACACAGGAGATTCTTGGCATAATAAAGGTTAAACTTACAAGAATTTAAGTGTAAGAGAATATGCAAGCAGTACACAGATCACACATTAAATAAAATTAGAAATGATCTCAGGAAAGGATATTTTCAGGAACAAGGGATAAAATCTTATCCCAGCTTTCTTTATTTTCAAGAATATCTTGACCAACCAAGGCATATTCCTCGAAGTACTTTTTAATTATGTTCATGGATCTTCTGTAGGAACAACAACCACAATAATAACAGTCCAACACTGTTGCATGTCACGTAAGCTACATACATACTGTTGACTCTGGGTGGGAGGACAGTGCTGATTTTTACTAAATTACAATTAGGTAAAGTCAGAATATTCACTTGTACGGTTATGAGAGTTACAGGAGATCCTTTCAAGGAAGAAGGAACCTAGAGCAATGCTTGGGAAAAAAACAGATATTTGGGCCTATTGTTGTAGTGCAGTGGGTAAAGCTGCTCCCTGTGAAACTGGCATCTTGTACAGGCACTGGTTAGTTTTGGATACTCCACTTCCTATTAGCTCCCTTCGAATGGCCAGGAAAAGTACAGGAAGATGGCCCACAGGCCTGGGCCCTTGCCATTCATGTGAAGCAGCTGTTAAAAGCAAGTTTACGGCTTCAGCTTGCCTAGCCCAGGCCATTGCAGTCATCTGGGGAGTAAACCAGCAGAAAGATATATCTAACTCTGAGTTTATAATAGAATACTTTTTTCCCTTTTCTAGTAAAGAAGTAAAGGATTATTTACTTCTCTGCTACATCCTTGGAAGGTTAACTGCATGATGCATATGTGATAAGGGTGGAAAGTGGGCTCCATGCAATGTTCAGTGGCTAAAGTTCTCGCCTTGGATGTGCTGGGATCCCACATGGGTGATGGTTTGCGCCCTGGTGGCTCCACTTCCCATCCAGCTCCCTACTTGTGGCATGGGAAAGCAGTACAGGATGGGCCAAAGCTTTGGGAACCTGCACTCATGTGGGAGACCGGGAAGAAGCTCCTGGCTTCTGGTTTCTGAGGCTCAGCTCTGGCCATTGCAGCTACTTGGGGGGTGAACCAGTGGATAGAGGATCTTTTTCTCTTTCTCTCTGTAAATATACCTTTTCAATAAAAGTGAATAAATCTTTTTTAAAAAAACATATTTTATTTGTTTTTATGGGAAAGCCAGATATATGGATGGTGCAGACCCACGGGTTCAAGGTCAGACCATCCTCTAAATATCTTGCCATAGAAAACAGGTGCTCAGGGCCCAGTGCGGTGGCGCAAGTGGTTAAGTCCTCGCCTAGCACGCCCGGGATCCCATATGGGCGCTGGTTCTAATCCCGGCAGCCCCGCTTCCCTTCCAGCTCCCTGCCTGTGGCCTGGGAAAGCAGTCGAGGACGGCCCAAAGCTTTGGGACCCTGCACCCGCGTGGGAGACCCGGAAGAGGCTCCTGGCTTTGGATCGGCATAGTATCGGCCGTTGCGTTCACTTGGGGAGTGAATCATCGGACGGAAGATCTTCCTCTCTGTCTCTCCTCTCTGTATATCCGCCTTTCCAATAAAAAAAACATAATAAAAAAAAAAATCTTAAGAAAACAGGTTCTCAGCAACCTGAAGCTGTTATAAAATGCCATCAAGCAGCAAAAAGGTACACACAGTAAAGCAGACACAATCTAGACTGCATGTAGGGGACCAGCATGGTGGCTCACAGGCTAATCCTTCACCTGTGGTGCCAGCATCTCATATGGGTGCTGGTTTGAGCCCCATCTGCTCCATTTCCCATTCGGCTCCCTGCTTATGGCCTGGGAACAGCAGCAGAGGATAGCCCAAGACTTTGGGTCCTTACACCCACATGGGAGACTCAAAGAGACTCCTGGTTCCCAGTTTCGGATCAGACCAGTTCTAGCTGTTATGACCATCTGGGGAGAGAACCAGCAAATGTAAGATCTTTTTGTCTTTCTTCCCCCTCTCTCTGTAATTTTGACTTTTAGGTAAAACAAACAAAAAACCTACAAAAATAAAAAAAGAAACCAAACTGCATGAAATTTCTTCTAACCTGACAAAAGGGTGAATTTTTTCATGTAAATGAACTTTCTTCTTCACATCTTGACCACCCTGAAAAATAAACCACTGAATTAGGGCTTTCTATGTATGATAGAACAGAAATAAAGCAACTCACAATTTCCTTTAATGTATTCTATTATTACAGTTAAGATGCAGTAACTCTGAAGACATTGAGTAAATTGTGTCAAAGTATAGAAACTTGACTGCTTTCTATACAATTTCAACACCTGTAACTTTCTGGCTTAATTTTAAACCACATAATTACATTAGGAAAATACATTAATTTTCCTTCTGCCATATAACATTGACAGCAAGTTATGAAATACTTCAATGCAGCAAGTATCACTTTAACTTGAAATGAACTGTTTGGTAAGGCTTTCTGCTCTTGAATGTGAATGTTGTAAAAAGTTACATTTTCTTACTAAACATACGAGCCTTGGAAACATCTAGTAAGCAAACAAACAAAAACATAAGTTATAATTAAGAAGATCTTACCTTTACAAGACTCAAATACTCAACTATTCCAGAACGTACTGCCGAGGACAGTTTCCTAACCGACTCATCACAGACCCAACAATGAACACCTCTCCTTCCAGAATACACCCAGAGACGATGCTTAAATCCAAAGTCCTCTGGGGAGGGGAGAAACAGTAGGTTTACTTCTTTGAAAGTCAAGAGTTAGAGAGAAGAAGCAACAGAGAGAGCTATCTCCCATCTGCTGATTCACTTCCCACATAGCCACAAAGGCTGGGACTGAGCCAGGCCAAAGTCAGGAGCCAGGAGTTTCTTTTGGGTCTCCCACATGGATGCAGGGGCTCACGACTTTTAGCCATCCTCTGCTGCCCTGGCCATAAACAGGGAGATGGATGGGAAGTAGAGCAGCTGGGACTTAAATTGGAACCCATATGGGATGTGGTTTTGTAGGCTGAAGTTCTACCCACTATGCCATAATGCAAGCTTCTAGATCGAGTCTTTAAGGATAAATGTTGATTGGTGAAGTAATGGAAGTGCTGGGGTGTAAAGAAGTTTATGGTAGATCAAGATTTGTAGACAGGAAATTAAGAGCATTAGGGGCACAGGAAACTAGCAATGATGTAGTAAAGAATTTTGTCTATTTGTCTTAAAACTTACTGTTTCAGAGCTGGTGCAGTGTTGCTGTGGGAGACCTGGAGGAAGCTGCTAGCTTCCACCTGTGGTTGTCCCAGCCTTCAGGGGAGTGAGTCAGTGGATGGAAGATCTGTCTCTCCCTCTCTTTCAAATGAGTATATTAATCAGGAAGGGAAGAAGGAAGGAAGGGAGAGAGAGAAGAAAAAGAGAGAGAGAATGGAAGGAAAGAAGGAGAAAAGAAAGGAAGGAAAAAGGGCCAGCACTGGGACATAGTGAGTTAAACTGCGACCTGTAGCATCCGCATTCCATGTGGGCGCTGGTTCATGTCTCAGAGCTGTTTCTTTTGATCCAGCTCTCTGCTAATGGCCTGGGAAAAGAGCAAGAAGGTCCAAGTGCTTGGACCCTTGCATTCAAGTAGGAGACCTGAGGGAAGCTCCTGGCTCTGGCCTGGCCCAGCCTCAGCCCTTGTGGTCATACGGGGGAGTGAACCAAATGGAAGATCTCTCTAGTAGTTCTACTTTTCAAATGAGTAAAATAAATCTTTTTAAACAAAAAAATTTTAAAGACTTGGTCTAAGAATATTTAATAAGTTGACATATTTTAAGTGTTTGATGTCTGCACAAAAATAAGGTCTCTATGGAGATATGGGTAGCTGCCACCACCGCTATCACCACTATCACAGAACCTTTTCTGACCCAGTCCTCCCAGCCTTGCTTGCATTCCTGCCATCCTGTAGCCCCACACTTCCCTCTGCATCTTCATCAGAGATCCTCAGAGGCAAACACTGCCTTGCACTGGAACCCACACAGACTCTGTGGATACTTGCCTTTCAGTGCTCGGTCGATGATGAGGATGGCCATGGTCATGAGGGTCCAGCACTTGGAGCATATGTCTGCAGAACTGGAGCAGAAGCACCATTACCCACTGCCAGGGACCTCCCCGACTCCGACAGCCAGGCACATAGCGCTTACCTACAGCATCGCCTCACATCGTCATAGTCTGTCATGTCAATGTCAAACACCAGCTCTTTCTCCTGAGCCTGGAACGCTCCCAACTTCACTGTATTGTGTTGATTGGGCTACAAAATAAAACAAAAATGGATGAGTTTCCATAATAACTGCCATGTAGCTCAATGCTTAGTTTTCAGCCATTTGGAAAAAATGGTCAGAGAAATAAAGAAACAATGCCAAGTCTATGAGGGAAGACAGACGGAGAGCTTCTGTCTGCTGGTTCATTGCCCAAACGGCTGTGATTGCTAGGGGTGGGCCAGGCTGAAGCCAGGAGCAAGGAGCGTCTTCCTCCAAGTTTTACACGTGGGAGGCAGGGGACCAGGCACTTGGGCAATCTTTTGCTGCTTTTCCCAGGCCACTAGCAGGGAGCTGGATTGGAAGCAGAGCAGCCAAAACATGAACTGGCACTCATAATGGATGTCAGTGCTGCAGGAGGAAGATCAACACACTATGCCATGGTGCTGATCCTGAGACAGAGAGGAATCTTGTACTTGCTGGTTTGCTTCTCAAATGCTGCCAACAGCCCAAAGCACTGGAACATCATTGGGCTCTCCTACCTGGTATAAGGTACTTGAACATCAGCTGTGGCCTTCCAGGATGTTTAGTAGCAGAAAGCTGGACTGGAAGTGAAGCAACCAGGACCCCAACGGGGCAATCCAAGATGGAGCAGATGCAGCCTACATAGTGACTTCATCATTGTGCCAGATGCCTGCCCCTGAAGCTCATTATTTTGAACCCCACATACTTGATGAGTTTAATGCTGATCCACTTAAAGGAGTCGATAAATTGATGACCACTAAGAGTTTATCAACAGAGATGACAACAAAGCTGTTTTAGGTTTTGGATAAGGTGAAGATGTCTTAAGGACTTTCATTTGTAAGTAACAAATATGTATATATTTAAATGTTTCAATAATTTGCAAAGATATCCCTAATGAGTTTAAACTGAGGCTACAGTCTACCGCATAAAGAAGGTGAATAAAGTACAGGTACTTAGGGCCCAGCACTGTGGCCTACTAGCTAGTCTTTGCCTTGAACAGTGGCCTGGGAAAACAGTCAAGGACGGTCCAAAATCTTGGGACCCTGCACCCACATGGGAGACCTGGAGGAAGTTCCTGGCTCCTGGCTTTGGATCAGCACAGCACCGGCCATTGCACTCACCTGAGGAGTGAATCATCAGACAGATGATTCTCTGTCTCTTCCTCTCTGTATATCTGACTTTGTAATAAAAATAAATATATCTCAAACAGGAAGCAACACCACCAGAATGTTTTAAAAACCGATAATTTTGTAAAACAGGAGAGAAAGGTAGGAGTCATACAAGTTGAACTGTAAAGAAGCACCCAGTTTAGATCTTTGAACCCCAAAAGGCTCAGTGGGGGCAATACCAGGTGTCTCCTCTAAGCATCTGAGTGGGGATTCAAATCCTATAGAAGAAGCAGGAGGCTCTGTAAGATCCCTAGTTTATCCTGCAGAGCCTGGTAACTGCTCCTCTGTGTCTCTGGCAGAAGACACCTGAATTATTACCCAGATGGCATTAAACAAAGTCTCCAGGCTGAGAGGACAATAGGTGCCATTAAGCAGGAGTGGACTGTGGGGTGGTGCTGTGGCATAGCAAGTTAATATGCCTCCTGCAATGCCAGTATCCCATATCAGTGCTGGTTTGAATCTTGATGGCTCCTCTTCCAATCTAGCATCCTGCTAACATGCCTGGGAAAGCAGTAGAGAATGGCTCAACTGCTTTGCAGTATGTTCCTGCATCTATGGATGTACTAAGGTGGACTTTGTCAACTAGCACACCTTGGAAAGATTCTCAACCCTGGAGCAATAAAATCAACAGCTCAGGTTTATCGAAACCACTCAACACCCTCAGAACACTCTTCTCCACATTGGGGTCTCTAGACATGATCAAAGGACTGTCCCTCCAAAAACACTGTGCTGATGTAAGAAGTGTCCCTCTCCCCTTCTGGACACAGCAGGAAAAAAAAAAAGACTGAAATGTAGTTCCACCCACCTTGCTCCATATCTGACCCTTCCCACCCCAATCAGAGGCCTACATGGGCATGCATCCCTCTCAACTATGTAAACAAAGCAAGAAAAACATATCAAGATCTCTTACTCTGTGGGAGTACACTGCGCCTATGTCAATCTTGTAGGGGTTCATTTTCTGCATCTCCTTTTCCAGTTCATTCTGGTTGTTGAAGGACTGGTAGCGGATGTAAATATCATCTTTCAAGGTGAATGAGAATTCCCGGTGCTGAAAGTAGTTCTTCACCACTGCAAAGGAAGGGTGCAGGTTTAGTTAACTCGCTGTTTTATTTAGCTCTTGGGTATCAGGACATTAATCCATCAAAAGATGCCCCACGGTGTTGCTAAAAAAAGGAGTTGCAGGAGAACAACCTAGTCCCCAAGTTTTTTTTAATAAAGATATTTTGATTTTGAATTATATGGTACAATTTATTTTTAAGATTTATTTATTTATATTACAAAGTCAGATATACAGAGAGGAAGATCTTCCGTCTGATGATTCACTCCTCAAGTGAGTGCAATGGCTGGTGCAGTGCCCATCGGGAGCCAGGAACTTCCTCCAGGTCTCCCACAAAGGTACAGGGTCCCAAGACTTTGGGTCATCCTCGACTGCTTTCCCAGGCCACAAGCAGGGAGCTGGATGGGAAGTGGAGCTGCCGGAACTAGAACTGGTGGCTATACAGGATCCCAGCATTCAAGGCGAGGACTTCAGTTGCTAGGCCACTGCCCTGAGCCCTATGATACAATTTCGTATAGACTGGGATTCCCCTCAAACTTCCACCTCCCGACAGATTTTCCCCATTTTATTACAAAAAATATAGAACGCTTCACGAATTTGCATTATCCTTGTGCAGGGGCCATGCTAATCTTTTTTGTATCATTCCAATTTCAGCATATGTGCTGCCGAAGCGAGCACCTAGTTCCTAATTTGAAATTTATTATCCCACATCTGCTAGGGAAAAATGGAAATGAGGAAATAGAATCAGAAATATTTAAAACAAGAAATGTTACTTCTCTGGCCTCCATGGGCATGCTTAAACTCGGCAGCGATAATACCCTTTTCCCCAGGCCGATCATGCCTCTGGGTCTCCCTGTGGCGACCTGGCACCCACGCTGGCACCGCGGCAGGTGAACGGGCAGCCACAGGGAGCCTGACCACGCTGGGGTCGGGGCAGCAGGCTGCACAGCGGTAGGAAAGCGCCAGCAAGATGCCCGCGGGGCAGACGGCACGTCATTCTCCAAGACTCCTCCGAGCCCCGCTTCCAACCCGGTTCCCGCCCGCCGCCCGCCTCCGTCACCTCCGCCATAGTTGAGCCAGCGGTAATACTGAGAATAGGGAAAGAGCCTTCGGTAATAAAGCTTAAGCAGCTCGGGGAGTTCGGCTGGGTCAAACGACTCCATGAGCTCGGAAACAGACCCAGGCAGGAATATCACAGGAATTGGCGGGAACAGAGCAGCCCGAGAGCCCACCCTGCGCAGGCGCGTCGCAGCACGCCCCGTCGACGCTGGGGCCGCCGGGAATTGTAGTTCCTGCTTAGGGTTGGCTTGGGTTGTGGGAACCGGCCGACTGAGTCAGAGCTGTGGAAGTCAATGAAGACCAACAAGAGAAAAATCGAAGGCTTTTAAATAGGAACTTACTGTAGTGTGGGAATCAGCCACTATCACCAGCATTTGATAGACTTACGGAGTGCAGAGGAGGGGGGAAGCTTGATGATAGGAATACAAGTTAAGGTTTAGGGGTGCAGCGATTGAAGTGGGTGGGCAGCTGACTAGAATTGTCATGTGCCGTATATGATTGGTGACAGGTGCAAATTGAGTTTTCTCTAGTTGGATCTAAGTTGGAAGTAGAGACAAAATTAGGGAAGCTGTGAGTTCTTAGCAAAGTCTTGGCCATGTGGGTAAGTTATTACACGGTTATTATAGATTATTCCACCTCATGGATTGGAATTAGGGTGTTAGTATTATCCCTCTTTTGCAGATGAGAATATACAAATGTTCCAAAAAAATTCATAGAAAAATTAGATTAGAAGTTTATATTTTTTAGTCCTATACATAGTTATTTTTAATTTTTAAAGATTTATTTATTGATTTTCATTAGAAAGTCAGATAGGAGTCAGGAGCTTCTTCTGTACTGTGCAGGTGCAGGGTCCCAAGGTTTTGAACTATCCTCAACTACTTTCCCAAGCCACAAGCAGGGAGCTGGACGGGAGCTGCTGGGACATGATCTGGTGCCCCTATAGGGTCCTGGTGTGTGCAAGTTGAGGATTTTAGCTGCTAGGCTATCACGTCGGGCCCCTATGCATAGTCATTTTATAATATGCATCTTCCATGAATATTTTAGACATGCTTCAGATGGACAGATTTAAAAAAATATCTTTAAAGCTGAGCAAGAAATTTATTTATTTATTTAAAAATTCATTTGAAAAGTAGATTTAGAGGGAGAGATTTTTTTAAAAAGATTTATGTTATTATTTTTATTGGAAAGGCAAATCAGATTTACAGAGAGAAAAAAAGGCAGAAAGATCTTCCATCCAAATGGCTGCAATGGCCAGAGCTGGGCTGGTCTGAAACCGGGAGCCAGGAGATTCCTCTGGGTTTCACACCGGGCCATCCTTTACCACTTTCCCAGGATCGCTATCAGGGAGCTGGATTGCAAGTCAAGGAGCTGAGACTTGAGCTCACACTCCGATGTGGGACGTGGAGGTTGCAAACGGCAGTTCAATGTGCCGTGCCACAGCGCCCACTCCTACTTTCATTTTCTGTGAACTTTTGCAAGGGCCCTGTAGTGCGGAGGGCTTCAGTAAGCTGTCTGAATTGCGGAGATGGGAAGTGGGAGAGACAATAAGCAGAGAATGAGGTAGCCAGGCTGCCAGAGTCCATTACTGAAACCCTCGGCTGTATGCTGTATCTTTCTGTAAGGGGTGGTTGGGAAGGTTAAATCATATAAAGTGAGGAATCTTGACCACAGTGCAGCAGCCCGCAGCTTCCAAGGACAGTCCCTACCGGGACTCGGGTATAGAAACCTTTATTCCAAGTGCCACTAGGGGGCGGTGTTGCTTTTCAGATAGTTTCGCTTTCTGCTTTCATTCACAGCGATGATGCAGAAACCCCTTTTCTGCTGTCTTTCTCTCTCTCTCTTTGAAACTCTTTCAAATAAGTAAATGTATCTTAAAGAACAAATCAAGCCTTAACAAAACCTCTCTTTGCTTCAATATCTCACCCCCTGGCTAACCCACCCTCTTTGCCCTTTTATGGACTTGATCTCAGCCTTGGATCTCTCATCCTGGAGAAAAAATACCTTGTGGCCTATCCTTCCAGTTCAGCGTCCATTGGTATTCTGGATGTTTCGGCATCTAAAAGGATCATCGATTCTGTGAGGGTGGTTCATTCAGTCATTTTTAATTCTTTCACTTATTCCACAAACAGTAAATGAACATAGTATGTATGATGCTTCATTTTATGAATCAATTAGACTAGGAACACTTAGAGAACAGGTGTATGATATTATGTCTGGGTGTGTTTGGGGACCAGCATGGTGGTGTGCAGGTTCAGCCATTGCCTGTGAGGACCCTGGCAACCCTGCCATCCCATATGGGTGCTGGTTTGTGTCCCAGCTGGCCCACTTTTGATTCAATTCCCTGCTGGTGTGTTAAGAAAAAGCTACAAAGGATGACCCAAGTATTTGGGTCCCTCTTCCCTGAGTGGGAGCTCTGGAAGAAGCTCGTGGCTCTTAGCTCCTGCCTGGCCTGTTGGTGGCTGCTCAGGCCCTCTGGGGAGTGTATCAATAAATGGAAAAATCTGTCTCCCTTTCTCTGTTTCAACACCTCTCCCATTCTAAATAAATAAATCGATCCTGCAAAAACGAGTGTGTTTGTCAGGAGATTGGCACAGGAATCAACGGACTAAGCAGGGGAAGATTTAACCTCACTGCAGATTGGGCCCCTCCAAGCCACCGGGACCTGGATGGAACAAATGCAGTGAAGGAAAAGGGATGGTTTCCTCAGCAGCGGGGACACTGGATGGCAGAACTCCAGGCTGCCCGGCCTGCAGCGTCCCTGGTCCTGAGGCCCTTGGACTTGGACTGAGCCACAGCACAAGCAGCCTGGCCGTGGCTCTGCTGAGGCCCTGGACATCAGGTGACACATGCCCCCAATTAGTCCCCCTCTCATATATCTAAATCTATAGCCACATGAGACTACTTCAACAAAGCTGTAGAAAAATGGATTAAAAGGTAAACCGAGTTTGCTGCAAAAACATTTATTTTTAGATTTATTTATTTTATTGGAAAGGCAGATGTACAGAGAGGAGGAGAGGCAGAGAGAAAGATCTTCCATCCGATGATTCACTCCCCAAGTGAGTGCAACGGCTGGTGCTGCTCCGATCCGAAGCCAGGAGCCAGGAACTTTTTTCTGGGTCTCTCATGTGGATGCAGGGTCCCAAGGCTTTGGGCCATTCTTGACTGCTTTCTCAGGCCACAAGCAGGGAGCTGGATGGGAAGTGGGGCTGCTGGGATTAGAACTGGCGCCCATATGGGATCTTGGCGTGTTCAAGGCAAGGACTTTAACCATTATGCAAAAACATTTTGAAACCTATGCATCTGAGACTGTTGTAATTCATGAAAAATGTACTTATGTGGGATTTCTCAACTTTTTATGAAGTTCTCTTTCCATATATATGGAGAATAAATTATTCATACATGAATATATTACATATATATAGGAATCCTGACCAATATTGTATGTGCTGGGCACTAATTAGAAAAAGATTAATGAATAGCATCAAGGAAGTTGAATTTTTGGGGTCAAAAGACATGAATAAAATCATACAGTGTTATGTAAGAGGTGTTCAAAAGATCTGTGGACAGTGCATGCTTTGAAAGCAGTCTATATACAGATATCCAAAATGTTTGTACCAAGCCGTTTATTCTCTAACTCCATTTCCATGAGCTTTGTTAAGCCCCCTTGTTGATGCATTCTTAGCCTAGCTGCACACTGGCATCAGCATAGTCCTTAAGACCTGGATAAGAGGGCTCATGTGATGGTCCAATGACTAAATCCTCACCTTGCAAGTTCTGGGATTTCATACAGACATTGGTTCGTGTCCCAGGTGTTCCACTTTCTATCCAGTTTTCTGCTTACGAACTGGGAAAGCAGCTGAAGATAGCCCAAAGTCTTAGAGCCTGCATCCATGTGGGAAACCCAAAGAAAGCTCCAGATCAACTCAGCTCCGGCCTTTGCAACCATTTGGGCCATTCTCTACTACTTTCCCAGGCCACAAGCAGGGAGCTGGATGGGAGGTAGAGTAGCCGGGACAAGATCTGGTGTCCATGTGAGATCCTGGTACATGCAAGGCGAGGACTTTAGCCACTAGGCTACCACACCCCCCCATCTTTAAAAATAAATAAATAAATAAAAATCTTTTTAAAAAAAAGTTTGGTATGGGGAGCATGGGTGCACTAAGTGGCATGGTGCTTTCGGGAAACTGTCAACAGAGCCACTCAGTGTTCTGACTCAGGGAGGCACAGTGAGAAGTGGGGCTGAGGGACAGACCACGGACAGAGCTCTGATAGCCAGGAGCTTTAGCTGGGTCTCTCCCACATGGATGACAGGGAGCCAAGGACTGGGCCATACTTTCTTGTCTTCTCGGGATCATTAGCAGGAAGCTGGATTGAAAATGGAGTGTGTGGATCTCAAACCAACATTCCAATATGGGATGCTTGGTGCTGCAAGGGGCAGTTTTAGCCCATTATGCCACATGGCCACAACATGAAAATTTCAGAATAGTGGAACCAGTGGGTCCTGGATCCCCCTGAAACTGTAGGCAAAATGTGAGTGTGAATGAGCATCCAGGCCATTGGTTTTTAAGTTAGGAGGGAATAGGCTGGGCTGATCTGGACTTTGGCAGGGGAACAAGGTGCGTGCTTGTCTGTGGGAGGCAAACTAAACAGGCACAAGGCTGAGAAATGAGAAGGTTGAGGACGATTGGAAACAGCTGTCAGAAAGCCATAGTGGAGGCATCAAACATCGACAAGCCTAAGATTTGCCTGGTATCCTCTAGGGTCTGGCTGAGACCCAGAGGCACTGACTTTATAGAGAAATAAATCACTTGTTTTCTGGCCTTTGTTTAATACCACTTGACTGCTGGCAACTAGAACACATGAACGGCAAAAGTTTTGGGGTGCTAATGAAGACCCCCGAAAGAAGCTAGCCACGGATCTTGGATGAATGAGGAAGTAAATGAACCAATGAGTGGATTGCACTGACAGCCAGTAGCTGAGAAAAATGAAGATTCAGAGGTTGGAAAGAGTCAGGTGGAGGCAAGACGTAAGATATGGCTCTGGTCAGAGAGGCCAGCTTCTCTTTTTCTCTTGTTTTATGCTTATTTATTAATTTTATGTCTATTGAAAGAGAGCATGAGGCTGAGAGAGTGAGAGAGAAAGAAAGAGA